TGCATATGGTGTAAGATTTTGATAATTATTACAGCATCCTGCTCAATTTGCCGCAGTGTTTGCTCCAGGGTAAATCAAGGGTCTATTTGTGTTTATTTGTGCTGCGGGGGCTTTCCCAGGCTCATTCCTCTGCAGGTGACGAGGGCACCTTTGGCCCAGATGTGCACGTTCGTGTCACCCCTCAGGGATAGGGTGTGTGTGTGTGTGTGTGTGTGTGTGTGTGTGTGTGTGTGTGTGTCGGGGTGTGTCTCCAGGTGAGTGTCTGGGAAGATGTGATTTTTCAATGACAAAGCACCGTAATAGCAGGCTAGGCTTTAGTCATAAAGCAATTGGGGATAATCCACTGGTTTACCAACAAAGCTCCCAGAACACCCACACTGTAAACGGCCTGGGTCAGGGCTTCATCGGGGGGAATAAAGAGAGAGGGAAGTAACAGAACAGAAGACAGAAAAGAAAATAGAGTGGTTTTTAACACAGACGAAGAGGGTTTGTAATTATGAAACCATCAGACAGGAAATTTGTGGTGATAATGTCTAACTTATACACGTGAAAAACCTCATAAAAAGAGTTGTTTGCAGTCTCAGTCGATGAATGCTCACTCGATAGGCTTGCTGAAACTTGCACAACTCCCCGTCCTCGTTCTTCAGAACACACACTTTTCTCACACACGTTCAAGCGTATGCCCTGGTGAGCAGATGAAATGTGACAGATAAGTACGTTTACCTGCAGGTGTTTGAGCAGGGTCTGTGCATCTTAAGGAACGACATCGGACAGATATTCATCTCCCTGCTGCTTTTAACACTCTATCTCTGTCTCTGGATGCTTTCTCTCCAGCCACCCTGTTGATGCCATGCATGGCAATTCCTAATGACACAAATCTTGATTTAGCACCTTGTCACTTTAATTTTCAAACTTATAAAAAGCCAAAGATGGCGTTAGCCCCTCTTTAACCCTTGCACTCCACATGCTCCTCTGGGATTTGGTCACAAAGTGCTGACTGTGCCAACATTTTGGGGAAAAGCTCACAGGTTTATTTTCTGACATATTTTCCAGCTGTGGGTGGTTCCTCTGAAGGTGATAACAAAGATATCTGCAGGCTGCCAAGAATAATAAAATATTTGCCTGAGCAAAATCCTCTAAGTTCAGCTGTAGTCCTGATTGATTCTGTTCTTGTCTCTATTCGATGTTGAATGCACCATCCTGGCAGAATTAGGCAGCAGACTTTTTGTACCTTTTTAGAATTAACAAAAAAAATTAGTTAAACCAATTACAGATTTTTTCCCCCATAGGGTTTCAAAGACTTTATTATGTGGCTAGCTCGGACACAAGTAGCTCATTTTCACTTCACGGTACGACTGTGCTTGACTCAAATCAGTCTGCTGTTGGTACCAAGCAGCATGCTGAAGTGTTGAAACATTAAGTTAATCTGGAGGTGCCAAAAAACTGCAGTTCCTCAAGTGTCAACATGAAGCTGGTTGTAACAATCTGGGAATTTCTCTTTGGCCCTATGTTAAAAAGCCCAGTTTTACAGTATGGTGCTCAAAAACAGTCTCTTATTTCATTATCTCTAAAAATGTATTTAGGATGGATTTTTAGTTAGGCCAAAAGTTTTATTTTTTAGTCATTTTTATAGGTGTGACAGATTAGACTGACAGGTGGGCCCACCTGAACTCCACCTCTATACCTGTTTCTGGAGAAGCAGAAAGTTAGTTGGAGTCAGTGTTTGCATAATGGTGTCTGCCATCATTTGGCTTCATAGCACCTCCTCAGAAACAAATGAGTGACATCACTGAGATTATGTCCATGTTTCATACAGTCTATGGTTGGTACCTATAACTTTTACTGACAATGTCTCCCACTGCATTATAGTAACACATCAATGCAGGCAATATTCTTAAATGCTGTCATGGCAATGTGAAATTACCTTCAACATAAAACACAACTGAAATCTTCACGTCTTTAATTAATCACTTCCATTTATTTCAACTCTAAAGGCTCTAAATATGTCTAAGTATGATAGAGTGTTTTGTTTTTTTAACTTGAGGCATCAGACCAACTTTGACTGGACTGCAAGAATATGCAGTAAACAGATCTGACGAGTTACAAAGTGACTTTCTACATTATAAATACTTTAAAAACCCTTGTCCTTGTTGCCTCAGCACAATTACATCCATAGTGAACCAATTCCATAATTTTGCTAAATAACAATGTTGCTGTAGAAAACACAGGTTGTAGTGCAGATGAAACCATAAAAAGAGGTTGTCATGTCTTTTCTTGAGGTTAACCGGGAGCAAAGCAGCCTTTCACTTCATGAAATCTTAGAAGCTGTTACATAATAAACAACTGAATAAAAATCTCTGCGGCCTCTCTCTCTCTCTGTCTCTCTGTCTGTCTTTCTGTCTCTCTCTCTCTCCGGCCATCCCTCTAACTTTGTTGATTGTTAAGCTTGACTTTTTGAGCTTGTCTTTTTTTTCTTTTCATTACTCAAATGTATATCTCTACTCATAAAGGAATAAGAAAAAGTAGACCCTATACCTGTCAGCACTTCCCTTCCTCGTATTTCTACAATCCCCTTCTCTTCTTTGCGTTTCCTTGCCTGCCTTTTAAGTCACTTTTCAAAGCAATGTGTGCCATTAGCCAACTGTCAATGTGAGGGTGCTTGGCACATGGATTAGACTTTGATGGCTTTCCCCCGACTGCAGAGGCTGAAGTGCGAAAGCGTCAAACTTTTTTTTTTTCCAATCCCACTCAGAGAAATTTTCGGCTTCTTCCCTGTCATTAATTCCACTTTCAAATGAAGCATTACCCGGACACTCTGTCAGACTTTAATGCATCAGAGAGAGCAAATGTACTTGCTAAAGCCCACAAAGAAGCCCTTTTAAGCACCTTTCCATGACTGAGGCTCGTAAATGTAATTGCTGGTTTCACCTCCGGGCTTTTAAGAAAAGAGGACAGGAAGGAGTACAGATGGACGATTTTCAGTCTAATCACTATCCTTAAATTTCTAAAGAGACGCTGGCGAGAAACGGACCAGATCACTCTCTCTATGGTTGTATGTACTATGTGTGTTCCTGTGTGTGTTGGTTTGGTTCTTCTGTGTTTTGTGTGCATGATGCAGTTTCCAAGCACAATTTAATCTACTCTCATATTAAGCAATTTACTTTCATCTTCCTCAATCGAGATGGGTGACCTTGTTCCACTTACACTTAACCAAGAGATGTTTTTTTTTAGCATCTGCTTCCTCTGCCGCTTGTGAAGTGGGATAAACACACAGACGCATGCACGGACACACAAAGACATGTCTGCATGACAACAAACGCATGCTTTTTGTCTGGGAACAGTCGATGCTGGTAATGAGTCTAAGTGTGGCCAGGCGGACGGAGCAGTGAATGAAACAGCTACAGAATCACTGGCTGTGTTTGATTTGCCTCCACTAATTCAAAGAGACCATCTGATAAATTGAGAGGATGGGATGTACATCAGAATAGTAAGAGGCGCCTCTTTGTTGCTCCTCATTCCCAACCAAATCACACCCCAACCCCCGTTAGAACACCCAGAGGGGAGAATGTTCCCCTTGTGTGTGTGTGTGTGTGTGTGTGTGTGTGTGTGTGTGTGTGTGTGTGTGTGTGTGTGTGTGTGTGTGTGTGTGTGTGTGTGTGTGTGTGTGTGTGTGTGTGTGTGTGTGTGTGTGTGTGTGTGTGTGTGTGTGTGTGTGTGTGTGTGTGTGTGTTAGAGAGGGAGAAAGACAGAGCTGGGTTGCTAGGAGGTGTGAGTTTTCAGGAGGTCCTGCTGAAAGCAAATGAAGGAGCACTTGTGTCAACATTCTGACAGCAGCGATGAGCCACAAAGCCTCCTGGCCAAACAGCTAAAGGGCTGCATAACCCCGCTCCAAAAAAGCAGGAGCGGTGCTCTCCGAGCCCTCCTTCACTTCTTTTTTATGTGCAGACCAGTAAGATGGAACCATTTTTCCTTTCAGTCTCAATATTTGACTTGGAAAAGTTTCCATGGTCGTTGCTTTTAGCCTTTTTCAGGATGTTAACACTGAAATGTGAAAAAAAAAAAAAAACGTTTACAATGGGGAGAACTTGTTTGTGATGTGATGATGTTTTTGACATCTTTGCTGTATTTGATAGATTGCTGTGGAGAGGCGCACAGGAAATGTAGAGAAGGAGAAAAAGTGGGGGTGACATGCAACAAAAGGTTCCTGGTGGGCTTCAGACTGAGATGTTGCTGTTGATATGTGAGATGTGGTTAGCCTTTTTAGGCTGCAAAGCCACTTTGAAATCTGTGTTTGTGACACATGCATCTGCATTTTACTTTCATGTTCTAACGCCAAATCTTTTTTTTCTTCTTCTGTAATCGTGTGAACGATACATGACAATTTATGTCTTTCTGAAACATAACAGGCGGGAAGTTGAATCTGTTCTGCTAATCGGAAACAGATACTAGTGACTATCTTTCATCTAACCATCATTCCTTTTTCCCTTTGTTGCTGGCAGCTAATCTTATCACAGGCCCATCTGTGCGTAACACCATGCAATGGCTGTTTATGTTGCACGTCTCTTAAGCGTATGCATGTGCTTGTGTGTGTGTGTGTTAGCCCTTCCACAGCTCGTTGGAGGCTCAGATCTCATGCCGTGAGCAGTAGTTAGTCCAGATGTTTGGTGGCTACAGGAACATACTACTTTGGAAACTTTCCCACAAGCTATCTGGTGTGGTTGACTCTTCACTGGCCCCAAACTTCAAAACAACCCAGCTCTAAAAATAGTCTGAGGCTCTTAATCATTCTGCGGACTCTCGCTGTCTCTGATAGTCAAATCAGAGCTCAGCAAGGACACAAGCAGCATTTCCCCCAGACCAGTCATGATGTAGGGACAGAAAACATCTACCGGCTCTTAAGATGGTTACACAAAGGACCACGCATCTGAATTTGACAAAACATCCAACTTTAGACACATAAAAAAGGGAACCCAAGATTCAAAACAACCCTCAAAGACGGCTCTTTCTGTGCCATAATGTTTTATTTCAACTATACATGCCGTGTTAAAAAAATCAACAAAAGATATCATGAAACAAAGACCATCATTATTATTTACACATTCACAGTACAATTTTACAACATATCTACACGCTCAAATACTCTGGAGGTCATATATACAGCTGGCCTTGCATCGCCATGTTGCACAGTATTAAAATCAAAAATTACATGACAAAATCTGGTTTATCTGCACACACACACCAAGCTCAGACTGAAATATAAAGGCTTCAATTTGGATTGCAACAGAAAGACCCAGTTCATATTGCAATGTACAAGGCAGTTGAGCAGTGTGTGTTGGCTGTATGTTTGTGATGTCAGTGTGCATGTATCGAGTAGAAAAAAGAGCCCAAACACTGGTTAGATGACAGGCAGAAAGTCTTTACATACAATCATCACTTGTAAACAAAATGTGGCTTTGGGCTTAACAGGCAACTGACACTCGGATAGGATTGCAGATGCAGATATAATGAACCCAATGCTAAGAGATGTGATCCCCCAAGCGTCCCTACTGACCAATGGAAACAATTCCTGTCACTACAGATTCTGCATGACCGCCGCCCATGCCAACAGGCGGCTTTCACATGAACACTGTGTTGATACATTGGCTGTGGGCAGGATGTGCTGCGTTGAGCTGACTGCTCCACAGTACAAGGTCTAACCACCCTACATCCCACTGTCAAGAAAATACATTCACAGCATGGCACCTCTATGTGCTGGATTGACACCCATTCTTTCAACACCGACAGTAAAGGAGAAAATTGATCCATACTCATAATGAAGATTTTTTTTTTTTTGACTATCCTTCAGTAAAATTCAAAAGTGGAATGTTTTTCTGTTGTTTCCACATCACTCCAGTTTGGATTAGGTAGTGATTTTTCAACACATCCTGCTGATTTTGAATTATCTCATATAAAAAATGTGTATATAGTATATGACAATAACATACAGAGGACCAATTGACATTGCCAATATTATATAATGTACTAGTTTATTTTGTGAATAAGGCACACAATGCACAGATTCAGGTTCACTTGCCTAAAAATATTTATACTCCTTATTTATAGTATTTAATTATATACAGGATCTTGTCATTCCCAGCATGACTCGTTTGGACACATTGGTAATTGTTGTGTTGATTGTACACTGGCCACTCACGGGGGAAGCTGCACAGGGAACACAGGCTGCAGAAGACAGAGGTGTTATATCCACCATTTTGTTCTCGGGTCAGTATCATATACCTTTTAACAGGATTAATGCAGGGGGAATTTTCTCCTGTTCTTCTATTAGGGTTCACACAAGTTCAAACAGAAGTGCCCTGAAATGTTGAGTTCCTTTTAAATTGAGTTAAACCATTGGTGTTGCTTTAGTTTCAAATGAAAAATTCTTTAAATAACACAGTAAACGTTATAAAGGCAAATAATATGTTCAAAATTCCTTTATAGAATGAGAGGAGAACTGAATATGTTTTTACTAATACCATTGCTACATAAAGAAAGAAGTCTCTTGAACCACCAGCCTATTTCCTACAAGGGGGCAGTGGAGGTTAGAGGAGGTTTCAGTCCTGGAGAGAAGCATTCCCCCCATGTTTCAGTCTTGACAGTGTGTTTGGTTGCTGAAAATTGAACATCTTGGCCTCTGTAATGTATCACACACACAAACACACACACACACACACACATCAAGGGCAATTGAGGTCTGGTAGAGAAGAAAACGTATCGAGGATACACCTTTTTCTGTAACCGTTAGCAGTAAATGTACTTAGTTAAATTTCCCAGTGAGATACAGAGTCCCTGTCCCAGTATAAACCCAGGATGAACAACTTCACTTCAGCCTAACTTTATTATAAAATCACAACAGAGTGGCAAAAGGCTTGGTTTCGGATGGATTTAAACAAGAGCAAAGTAGAGATTATATAGTTAAAATGGGAAACAGTGACTTAGGTCTTAGACGGATCTTCAGGTGCATCCTCTGGCATATGATACCATTCCTGGCAATCAAATATAAAGGCCTTATCTGTGTACTTCCTAAACACAAACCTGCATGCCACACACATACGCACAGACGCACACACATTCATTTGCACTCTTTCTCTCTGTCAGCTTGCTGCTTCATACAGCTGTCCACAGTCGTATGTTTCTAAAGCAACAAGCACGTTTTCAAATTTTGAGTTCCCTCTCCTCTGCCCCCAACCATCTTGCAAGTGAAGGCATGGCCTACCTCTCCTCTTTGTTCAGTTCACATTAGTGGGAAGACAGTGCTCAAGGGCAGTGACAAATGAGACCCATTCTTCAAGTATTTCTCTGTTTTGACCCTCGTACAACACGCACTGGCGGGGCCCAGCGTCTGTGTCGTAAACCTCGTACCTAATATTGGAACAGGTGTCACCAAGCCCAGATACAACTTAGAACAGCGGATTAACTATTGTCCACTGTGTATATCCCATGGCTACCGAGACAATGGAGGGACATGGGGACGTAGGGAGCAAAAAAGCTCCAAGGAGTATCTTTGGCCACGTGTGATTTTCCCTTTTTAGAGTGAGTATATGTGCATTTCATTTAAAGGGGGAACAAACCTCAAGTCGATACACAAACACACACCAGGCCTACCCCGTCCAAAGCCCCCCTTCAAGCACTCGGGGCTATACGCTCACTCAGATAAGTTCATGTTCCTTTAATAACTGTACTTGTTGACCACTCGCATCTGTGGAGTTTGTGGTGAAAACCCATTGGGTTTAGGGGGCACATCTGGCTTTAGCGAAGGGGTCCTTTTAACCCCCGTGCGAGGGAGTGAACAATGCCCGTTGTAGCTGCCCTGTCGGGGTACAGAAGATGGGTGGGCAGAGTGCATTCCTGCCCCCATTACCCCGCTGTGGGAGTCAAGTCTGGAGGGGGGTGTTGGAGGCATGTAACCCCCTCTGTTCATACTGTGTTGGCGAGACACAGACACCCCCATTGTTACCCCATTTGGTGAGGTGGATAAGGAGTGCCTATGAGAGGCACTCCGTTGGAGTTGGTACCCCCCTCTGTGCCTCTCCAGTGTTCCCCCCATGCTCAGGCTGCCCGTGGGCGTGGTGGGAGTGGAGGGCAGAGGCACGTCAACCCTCTTGGTGGGACTGTGCCTGGGTAAGGAGGAGGAGGGGGAGTACAGGGAAGCCTCGCGACTGGGCACCTTAGGGGGCATTTCAGTCAGTTCCTCCATGGGTTCCAGTGTGAGGTGTTGCCTAGGGCGGGGCCCTGATCCGTCTTGAAGAATGGCCTTAGGGGTGGCCACAGAGTCATTGAGATGTTTTAAAAGGTCATTTAGGGTATTCCTGGCATCCACAGACCTCTTCTGGTCTTTCCTACTTCCCTTAGAATCTGGGGTCTTTAACTTCCTTTCTGAAGAACGTGGCAGTGTATCATCCCCATCCTCAAAGTCAGGGTGATCATGTGTGGCATTAGGCAGGACAACCGCACTGGGTATGTGGGAGTGTCCCAGGGCGAGGTGAGGGAGGTTGGAGTTGGAGTTAGGAGGAACGGGAGAAGGAAGGAACTGAGGACTCTTTGCTGAGTTGGACTCCTTGCGAGGACCACCGGCCTTCCCCTGAGCCCTCTCCCACTGGTTTTTGATGGGCTGTAGTCCTTTCTGCTGAAGCACAGGAGTCGACTCAGGTGTAGGCAGGGCAGCAAGCTCTGGGGGCTGACAACCATCCCGCAGGATCATGGTCTTGGTGTCCCCATTGGGTGAGTTCAGGTCTTTACTGTTGCTCAGCAGGTTGGTGTACAGCTTGGGAGAATCAATGTTGGTCTGGTACTCCTAAGAATGAGACAACAACATCAGTAAGGTTAGACAGGTGTCATATCTTCAACAATTACTACCAACAAAAGGACGTGTGCAACTGAGCCGTTGCGATGGCTGTACCTTTACAGGGCTGTCAAAGAGACCATTTAGCTTGACGAAGCTTCCAGTAGAGTCTGAACAGGATGGCGCTGACTCTGCATCCTTGTGGACATTTCTTGGCTTACGGAGAAATGAGTCTCGGTAGCAGAAAACAATAAGACCAGCCAGAAGTGCACCCATGAGAAAAGCAGCAAACACACAGGTGATGAGGATGTTCATGTGGACCATCTGGTTGGTCTCACCTGCCTGGATATCCCACACACCTATAAAACATTAAAGCACTGTTTAAACCCCCGGTGAAAAGGGTCAAAATGCTCACTGAAGCATCCCCCTCCATCCAACAGCAGAAAATGTGCATGTTTGTGTGTGAAGACATTCATGCACACGTTTCTGCTTTTAACACATCTCCACATTGTTGTCTAGCACTTAACTACAAACATACTCTGACATTTTGTGATTTCTATTCCAGATGAAGAAGAAAAATGGTGAACATTGGCAGAAGCTGTTAGGTACCCACATCCATTTCACCATCTAAAAGAAGCAGTGAGCAGTTCTGTGTTAGTTCAGAAGGGAAGACTTCAAGTGTTGTCTTGAATCCCGTTCCAATAGAGGCTTTTTGTCATGCGTTGAAACAGTACCAGAAGGTTAGGAATGCATTCTTATCTGAAATAGAGAGCCAAATCGAACTGTTGCACAAGAGATCAACCAACGGGAAGTTTATTTCCAAGGACAGAGAAGCAGTGCTTGCTTTCCCGGTGTTCAGATGGCTAGAGTTCTACAGAGAGTTTGTTAGACACCACAGACATTGAAGGAGTTAGTCATACACCATGCAGCCACAATAGTGTTGTGGCAGGGCAGGCCCAGTCAATGATCTACCAGCCAGGGTAAATTGTTACTAAACCTAGAGTTAATAAATCTCTAGTGGCAGCGACATAATCTAAATCTAAAGAAAAGCTTAAAAGAAACAATAAGAGAACAGAAAGTAAAAGTTTTAGTGATTGGAAAGCCGAATTAATAATTCAGAAGTAAGAAAGAAAGAAAGAACACAAGGAAATAATATGTTTAAGGAAGTAAAACAATATTGAAATACAAATATTTTATGCATAGAAAAATTAATTATGTATCCAAATGTATATTCCAAAAAGAAAAACTTCATTAAAATGTGCTATATTATACAATGGGAATCCTAAATAGCTGCCATTGTGTGCCATGTGTTTGCATATGTGAGCTTATATGTGTGGATTCCCATTTGTGAGGCTTAGTGAGACTTGTTGGCAGCTATCAGATTGGGTTCAATGCAGCATGCTGGCTGCCTCCCTGCGGGCCTTACCCTCTTGGCCCCCTGGGAAAGAGTCTAAAGAATGGGAGGTGGCTGGGTCATCCTGCAGCACAAAGCCTGAGCCGTAGAGCTCTGGACCAGGCTCAGAGCTGGGGCTCTGAGTGGGTATGAGTACTGGGGGAAGTATGGGCCCACTGGGGTGGACAGTGACTGGCGGTGATGAAAACTCCATGTCTGTGGTGACAAACAAATTATTAACAAACTGCAGACGTGGGTAAAGCATTCTGTTATCCCCCTGGTTAGTAGGCATTGGCAATGGGTCATTTTATGGGTTAGTGTTTAAAAAATTATGAATAAACCTCACCCAAGTTAACCTTTATCAAAATATAGTGTTTTCACATTCACAGACCAATCAATACACTTCTTGTTTTTAGTTGAAGAGAATTTGGAACAGGAAATAAAGAGGATACTGATGTTCAAGGAGGAGTTGGTACACAACAGTAAGGATGCCAAGAGATGGAGAGTGGGCATGCAGAGAGGAGGGAGGAATCCAAACATGAAGTGATGAGTGAGAAGGAGGAAGTGAATATGTGCCTCCAAAAAAAGCACCAATGTCGCCCGATGGTTCTGGCTTTTGTGGCGATGGAAAATGAGGCAGGTGATTTGAGCATTCAGGAAGTGTTTGGTAGGAAAAGATGAAAGGTGACAGTGGTGTAGAAGACAGGGCTGGAGATGCTGAACTCAAGGAAAGAAACCATTTGAGTAAAAGATCAAACTAACCAGAGGTAGGGTCGCCATATGATTTGTAATCTGGCGCTGATGTAGTGCCCAAAAACGCTAAAGGAATTCAAAAGGACAAGAAATCAGCATAAGGGAATTCAGGAAGAAAAAAAAGTAAAGACTAAAATTCCCTAAGAGACACGAAGAGTGCAGTTTATTAGACTTAACAATAAAGATACAAAGCACTCGCTAGAAGTGTCCGTCTCTCACTGGAGTCACAGAAGGCCCTCTGGTTCTGATCGATACTGAGGTTCAGCCTGGGTCATGTTTAGTTGGTGCAAATGAAGGGACTGACTTTTTTTTTTAAAGTTGAATGCGTTAAGGTAGATTTTCTAGACATCAGATATCTTCAAACCTCTACCACTTGCACCAGCTAGACATGGCCCTGAATTGTACATGTCCATGTTTCATAAGTTACAGGTGGCCATGTACTGTATGCAGATGTGTGTGTTAATACTGAACATAGACTTATGTAGGGGCAAGTTACTGGAGTGGTTACTGGTGTGAGTGTGCAGGCTCATGGTGTGTGTGGAGATGAGTGTGTGTCTCATTTGCGTGTGTGTCCATGTATGTGTGCATCTGTGTGTGTGTGTGTACGCGCTGCACGATAGACGACATGGCAATGGAGATGAGATACGTACCATGACAGTCTCCAAGGTGGGCGGTGTTTCCAGATTCAACATCCTGCTCATACCCAGTCCTGAAAAAAGAAGAGACAGATAGAAAGATGAATCCAACAGCTGCAGGAAGTCTTGTAATCGAGATTTCTCGTCTGTTATATTTGAACTTTTTTTTATTTTTTTTATTGGAGCTAAGGGCTTTAACTCACAAAACTCCAGGCAGAATCCTCTCACAGGCTCCATGAGGCCTCCAGCCACAGTAAGGGTCCCTTAATGCGATGCAAGACCTGGTGGCACACAAACACACCATCAAACCACCGGGTTTAATCGGTCTGGGAAGTGCTCTTTCAACACACGTGACTGACTGAACATTAACCACGACTCATAAGCTGAGCTGTTATCACTGCTTTTATGACATTTACTGAAAAACAAAACACTAAAGTCATAAACCTATGACTCTAAAAGTGCCGACGTGCACATTTGTGCGTCACTTACTTGTGGCAGGCAGAATGCCTTTCACAGCGGCTCAGGGGAATACGGATGACACAGCTCGAAAAGGCGACATACAGGCTGTGTGCGTCTTTATCCACGTGGAGGGAGAGGACACGCTTGTCATCCTCACGGTTAGACAGGCACCTGGGAAAAGGAAGCGAGAAACATGATCAGACGTTTACCAGATAAGTCTGTCTACTGTTTCATCTCAGTAGATTTAATCACTTGTTAGGTGGAGTAGGCACATAAAGCCTTTTCCACGCAGTTTAACAAGATTGTAACCTCTGACACGCTGCAGCGTTTGTATTCATATCCAAAAATAAACAGATATAAAAAAAAAAAAAAATTGAAAAACTACACACATACTGTTCCGGCACAGAATGCAGACAGACAGGCACTGCCATCTGTGCCAGAAGGCTTCACTTTAAGAGTTGCTGACTCCTCGGCCAGAAAGCAGAATGGGAAGGGAAACAGAGGCAGACAGAGAGAGTGTGAAAAGTGTGCGTATCCCTACTTGGCCCTGTTGAAGACATCTATCTCTTCCAGAAGCAGGCTGTCATTCAGGGCCGCAGAGGAGGTCTTAGCCAAAACCTTGAGGACAACCCCTGACTCGGCCCCGATGAACACAACTGTGTGGTTCTTGTGAGGTCCCGCTTCATTGTCCACAGCCAGCGCTGTCAGTCTGTACCTACACGCACAGCAGAGGAGCATGTGTTACTCACAGCAAGGGGTGCAAAATAGGAGAGGACATTTTGAATGCACAAATCACTCCGTCTGTTAAATGTATTGAAGGTCGCACTATTTTTTTCCAAACATATTTGCATTTCATATCACCATGATGACAGTTAGCCTACCCTGGGCATAGTAAGATATTGATATATGTGACGCATTGTCTAATACGAATTCATTCTCAATATTCTTTTCAATGCTTCCTGAAGTTTTCTGTTGCATTCAGATTTAGACAGTGTGCGTCAAATCCAAATCCTCCATTCAACTCATTTTTATTAGCCTTTTTATCCTTGAGGGCAACTTCTGATTAAACCACAATAACTTCTTGTGCGTTTCAGCTGGTGTGTCGAATGCTAATAAGTCACTTATCAAAAGGCACAAGTTCAAAAACTAAGTCAGTGCATCTCTATTGTGCCTCTCTGTTTACCTGACGCGGGTCTTAGTGAACCACGGCTCATCCCCGATAGAAGGCACGGCTGTGTCCATGAGAGGGTGGGACTTGATGAACTGCAGGGTATCGTCCGGGAACTCAATGGAGCTCTTAAGGGACGCAGCTGGACCGTGACCTGCACAGCACCCGGGCCTAAGATGGAGGGTGCACATGAGGGAAAGGCAAAAGGTCAGAGGTCAGGACATACGATCACACGCAGGGGAGTCAATATGACACGTATTGAGATGGATGAAAAGTGTAAAGAGAGGGTGGGGGGGGGAGCAGGTGCCTATTAGGATCACAAAAAAGGGCCTCAGCTGGAAACATAAAATATACATATGCATGGTTATCCCCCATCAATGATTTACCGGCGTAATGAGGTCCTTTGTTGGACTTTGTGTTTTGGACAGAGGGCAGGCCTACAAATAAACGTGCTGACTGTAAACAGGTTAAATATGCAGCATGTCTAATTATCCCAAATTAATAATTCAATTATCAGCAGATGGTGAATGTGTGTGCTGGGTCAAAGCTAATAACTTGGTCTCGTACTAGTGGGAAAGATTTGATTTCACTGGGTTTAAGCTGGACAAAGAAGGGTTTGAAAAAGGGGACAAAATGACAGATGGTAAACACCTGTCGGCAGGCACCACCTCCTTTCCCCCCCTCTCATCTTTGACTCTTTAAAAGGTTTTGAATTTTGAAATATTGTGAGGGAAAGAGAAGTTTGATCCTCACCGAGGTTTGGGCAGCTTTTCCTCAGGAAATGGGGTCCACACAGAGTCTGGAGTCTTCTGCTCTTTGAAGCGGCCCCAGAATACTTTCTCTATGTCAGCCATGGAGAAGGCACACACTGCTGAACCGGGGATACTGTGAAGAAAACAAAAATGAATGTCATGTCCTTCTACATTTCATATTCCCTGTCCTCTTCACTTGTGAACTCCTGAAAGCGTCTTCTGCTCACCTGTTCATCTGCGTGGTGAACACACCCACCACGGAGGGGACGCCATTGATGTCGATGATGTCAGTGATTGACTGAAGCACGTCAAAGTAGAAGAAGGAGTCCCCCGGCACCGAGCAGTTCAGCCTCGCCTTCACAAAGGACGTCCAGTGCTTCTCCAGCACCCGCTGTGACCCGCCGACATCGTTCTTACAGATGCGGGCCACGCGAGAATACACAACCTGCGAGGATGACAAGAGGCGGGAGGAAGAGTGAGGCAGCTGAGCGAACGTCACTAAAAAACACTTCAACATTATGAATAATGCATCTGTCCATCCGGTAGCAACGCAGCTACAACGCACACACTCATTTTTAACTGCGTGTGTGGAGATTTTTCAATCTGTTTGATTGCACATATAAGCCATGCTTTGAGTATAAATAAAGTGCGTGAAGCTGTTGGCTTCCACAGTTTTAATAATGTAACAGTGCAAACCTCCATCAGAGGCCAGGTGTCACCAGAGCATTAGCAGGGTTGAAATATTTATTAGCTTTGTGGCTGATGGAGGATTCTGGCTTCATGTGGTTCGGCCAGACCAGCTCAGGATGGTCAAATCTGACGCTGGCTTCAGACAGAGCATCCTAATGCCCCCCTCTGCATGTGTGTGTTTCACAGGAGGGGAGCCGAAACAGAGCGTGCAATCTCTCGAAGAGACAAATCCTCTCACTGTGTAATGGTTTTACATTAGTAGAAAATCCCCCTCAAACCCAGGCAGTCAAAATGTCTCATGTATTCTAATGCGATTCTGTCATTGCCTGAATGAGCCCCATTACCACTGGGACCTTTTGTGGCAGGAAAGCATGCACTGAGAAAGGTGTAAGCCCTTTTTTTTTTTTTTTGGTTAAAGTCAAGCATACTGTATCTGTGCGGAATACGTTGTGTTTTTTTTAAACGGCAGGTGCACTGTCTTACCTTGCCCAGATTGCTATGCTCCACAGCAATCTCTCGGTAGAAAAAGTACACGTAATTCCCGTACTCCGCTGCGTGCAGGAAATGAGGTTCTGAGGGAGAGACAGAGGCGGAGAGTTGAAATGTATTTCTGCACCGTCACCACCGCCGTGCATGTTGAATATTTCAGGGATTTGAACAAGGCTGTATATGACTGGGGGTGACCTAGATTGCCTGGGAGAGAGCAGGCCATATCCCCATGGATCTTGGCAAGGCAGGAGAGCTCTCTATCACTCCAAAAGCAGCCCTGACAGCCTCGTACATACATACACCATGCAAAGGCACCATGGGCATTTAGCTAGCTGGCAGGTAGACAAGTGTATTTCCAGTGAGAAATAAAGATTGAGAGTTATGGAGGGGCATTCGCTTACCTTTCAGCCATTTGGAGTCGTATTTGATGGTTCTCAAGGCCGATCCATCACCCATACTGCGGTAGATGACAGAATCACTGGCCTGGAAGTCGGCTACAGTTGCAGAATACAGCTTCCCCTCTACAATACAAAACCAAAAAAAAAAGGAGTACAGTCACCAAAAACTGGGATACACAGCTCTCATATGCTTTGTTGTTTCTCTTCGTTTAAAAGGCCTAATTGGCGGAGTTGTTATCGCTGCAGGCACAGTTTTACTCTGGCAAAGACACAGAGGTGATAATGAGAGCATAAGCAGGAACACATTAGAGCTTCTTCAGCAGGACTAACTGTGTGTGTGGGCGGGTGGGTGTGTGGTTGACCCCTTACCAGCGAAAAGGGCTACATTGGTTTGCTTGGAGTCAAACGGGCATCGTGCCAATCCATTGATCTCCTCCCCGTCAAACTCGAGGTTATCCAGCTGAAGGGGAACACAGCGATCACCCACACATTAGAGGAGTTTTGTCAGGGGACACAGTGGAAACAAACGCACAAAAACACCAGCTAGAACAGAGATCAGTCGAACGAGTCGAGGCAAATTTTATTTAAAAAAAAAAGACGTTAAGGATAAGGGGTGTGCTGCCCAAACTACTAAGACGATACTCTTTGAGGCTTTTCACGTTTCAGCATGCACACCTCCACTTGAATTCATGGCATGACAGTTTCTAGCACTGGATACTCACCCTGTAGTATCTGCACATTGGGTTGAAGCCATTAGTACCACAGATAAACACCAGATCATCGTTTCTGGGGACCAGCACTTTGATGAAGTTGTGGCACTCGTCCTGATAAGAGAGACACAATATGGATCAGTGTTTTTGAGAGGAAGCCAGTGTCTCTGCTCACAGTTCAAGTCCAAGTGATCGCATGTACAGTTACACAAGTTACACGAGTAAAGGATTTTTAATACATACTCTGTGTTTTCCCCTGACAGCACACATGTCTCTGTCGACTTGGCCCGATCGCCATGTAAGCTTCTGTAAGAGCCAAAAGGGAGCATTAGACACATGCACGGCAAAGATACATGCACTCACGCACACACTCACGCACACACACACCTCCCTTTTCCACTCTCTCGTTTTACAACCTGTCCAGTTTGTGATAAATGGCTCTGTGTTTTTTTTGTATGGAAGCCTTGTCGTGTTTGTGGAGAAGGAGAGCAGCTTGTGGCAAGAATCTTACCCGGTAAGGGATGATCTCATTCCTGTAGGATTCTCTCAGACTGACGAGGTACACCTGATCTCTGCGGACACACAACGAGGAAACACAAAGATCAGTGGCATGGCACAATAAGGGATACACTAATATAGAGTACGGTGACAATCGGGCGGACTCGTGCACAAAATCAGCAACATATTTAAATTGTATTCCCGAATTTTCTTTTAATGTGCTATTTCTAGATGACTTTTTTTTTAAACTATACCGTCATTAGAGGAACTCATTAACTATGAAGAGTGGTTACAGCCACTAGCAGAATGAAAGTGGGGACTTTTTTTTTTTTTAGTTCAAAGCAACATCAGAATGGAGGGAAACATTTACAAACCAATCTGGGGCTTTTAAAAACCTGAGTAGATTTCTGTCAAAACAAGTCATTTAATTCCAATTTCCGTTTGCAGAACAGATTGGGTGTTGCAAGGAAAATACATTAGGGTTATGATTTTTATGCAACTTTCTTGAAAATGACTGTCTTCTCTGCTTAACCCTACTCGATTACCACACATAGTTTTTATAATTTAACTGAAAAGGCCGTGGACAATCTTAGCCACAGGGGCTTAATCGGCTCAGTGAACCATTTGCTTCCCTTTTAGTAAAAAAAAAACATCCATGAACTTGCACAAGGAGGATCCACCTGTCAGCAGTGATACATGTGGCGCTGATTACAGGGGCTCCAGAGGTGGGAGTTTTATCCTGGAGATGTCCAGGTGATTTCCTGCTACAATATTAGTGCTGGCGGTCAGATGAATCCTACTACCCATAAATATCAAAAAGACATGTAAAGATGCCAAGAAACCCCTGACAGAGCATCAGGCCGGCGTGATAGACGCCTTTCAGGGATCAATACAGGCCATATACATCGGCTGCAGGCTGAGGAGCCACAGATCCAATAACACTAAGAGCTCCCCCCCCCCCCACCTTCCTCTTATGCCACTGTTTACCTGCCAAGGAGTGAGTGAGTATATTGGTGTGGGGGATGTGTAAGCGAGAGAAAAAGACAGATAGAGACAGAGTGCATGTGTGTGTTGATTTTACCTGCCAGCGATGAACAGCGTGTCCTGTATCTTGGTCATGAGCTGAAAGTCGAGGCGATGCTGTGACTCGTTGCCAGAGGGCCGGCCTCTGAACACAGGGTACCTCCGTGAAACTGAAGAGACGGCGGCACACGCACACATGCTATTAATGGCAAACTCACGGCGGAAGCGGAAGATGCTCTTGCACGGGAAAAACAGCACTCTCACTCTCCTATTGCTATGTTTAACTCTACTGTGCCTATTGGAAATGAATATGCTGTGTATATGCTTCCTATAAATCCTCCCCCTGCAATTAAGCTAATGGTACAGTACAAATACAGACTTTATATTATGTGTAATTGTATCTGTGTTTCATCGTGTTTGCACGTTAGATAATGTCTGCTTATGTCAGCACATCTCTGTTCCTCCTGTACATCACAGAGATGAAAATGAAATCCACTTAATGCTCCAGCTGAGCGTACAGCAGATTGATTCTATTACTGTGGAAATGGCATGCTAGTGTCCGAACTGCTGACACGACTAGAACGAGGGGCCTGCTGCTGTTTGTCTTTATTCCACATGTGTCTGGAGTGAGTTAAAAAGTGCACTTTAAAGATTGTCGTCTACTTCCTTTGCAGTGATGTCGCAGCATTGTGATACCCCCCCCCCACACACACACACACACACACGTCTCTGCTGAGTTCATCTGCATTCTCGTATACTCACAGTGTGCGTCAACGACATCCAGGGGTACGGTGTCCTCGGGGAAGCTGACTGCGAGGAGAGTGCGTGAGGCTGTCAGCAGCAGCAGCAGCAGCTCACTGAGCAGAAGCACAGCTCTCTGGCCCATGGCTGCTCACAGACGACACTTCCTGTTTCACACTAGTGGAGATGTTACCTGGAAACGCACACAGAGAGGAATACATTTGTGTCTCGTTATTAACAGGCTCCACGTTATAGATTTAAAACCACTGCTGCAAACCATGAGTCTTGTATAAAGAAGCTCGTTGAGTAATTTTTCATCCTCTCAATACCAACTCTGATATCCTCCTGACTTGAGAATTGACTGATACAAGTGTGTCAAAAACATATAAGAGGATTTCTTCTGCTAATCGGTAAGGATATTAAAATCATCTTGCATACATACAAAACCTGATCCCATCTTCAAGGCTGTATTGAAGGTCACTACTTATCCTGGCACTGGTATCAGAATGACTCTACTTATATGAACTAAATCCTAGCAATTGACACAGTCAAAAGTCAAAACTACCCACAACCGCCTGAAGTAGAACCGCAAGGCAAGCATAAAGCCCTCTCTGGCTTATCGATGACTGAGCTCTCAGTGGCAGTGCTTGCCGTTTCCCCTCCACCTCTTGCTGCATCTGCTATCCAAGCGAAGGTCAGCCAACTGACCGGCGGGGTGTCGCGGTGTGTGTTGGATGCAGCGGAAGTCCGCCCTGCTAGAAACGTGGCAGGCCTGCTGTCTCTGTACATCTGTGCTCTGATTGGTTGGTCTCTCTGGGTCAGGCTCAACACTCATCAGCACATTGCAACTTCATCACAATCACCGGCGTGGCTCCTGCTCTGACGTTAGCTGACTTCTAGGAGTAGCGCTCTGGTACCTGTTACTGCTCTGAGTCTTTCCCTTTGGGCTGCTGTTTTGTCATTTCAGTGCACGGATTAACTCGTCTTTGTTTTATGAGGGTCTACTCGTGTACAAATGTTTTGACATTGTGGTAGTTTTTTTGTGTGATGGTTTGCTCTTCGCCTGATTGTGAACATGATACGCAGGAAGCTCCGGTGGTAATAATGTATTGTGGGCGTGGCAGAGTTTAGTGTGTATGTTGGTGCATGAAGGAGTTCTTTAGAGACAGACTGTGTCCGTGCATATTAATGATCGGTGTACATTCAAATATTTATAAGGCAAACAAATTATTCATGCAGGCAAAGCTTGAACGGATATAAACAATTTACCGGGAGACGTCACACAGGCAGAGGGATGGATTAGCTGGAAGCACACTGGGATACACACACACACACACATGGCTGCACATACAGAATCCCTCTTTTCTGTAATGCAAAGAGTGACGCATGTGCACACAGATACAAATACACACACATACACACACATGCAGTATTGACTCATTATTCAATTAGCCCCGAAGCACACCTGCTCCAGTGCTGTCTGTGTGCCCCGCCTGCCAAGCCATTAGTGCTGTGATTGATCCACACAGGAAGCTTGATGGATTAGCAGCAGGCCGAGCAATCTATGGACTTTTAACATGTCACTTTAGCCATGTGATGACTTTATAACACACTGTAACTTATGAACAGTGTGAAACTTGATTTGCTGTTTGAAAATGTTTGTGGACTGCTTTGAAAATGCTAAACGAATTCACAGCTCACAATGTCATCCAGCAGAAAAAATACCAAAGTATGCGCTATGACAGCAGAAATACATCATCAGCGTGACAGCCTTTTGTCGCTGTGTGTGGATGATATAACATACAGACCGGTCGCACTGCTTTACAGCCTATATTCAAATTTAAAGTGCTGAGCTTGTTTTCCAGACACTAAAGATCCCATTCTTGTCTGGAGGGTAAGTGAAAGATGATGTGTCACTAAAAAAGAACAGAAGTGAGGACAGAATCAAGGGTATTCAAGCATGTTTTAGGCCATCAATACTCTGCAATCATGGCCATTCAGTCCTCTGTGGGGTACGGAGGCTTTTGAAAGAGAAATGTCATTATGATTGGCTGAGTAATGCGGACAAGATGACGCTCCATCTCAATTTATCCACCTAATAGTGAAATTACAGGGTTGACATATTGACACAATAGAGTCACTTAATTGGGGCTCGTGGTTTGCTCTCTCTTATTTTAGATGCAAAAATCCACAGAGCTGGAGCTGTCACTCTATTCTAAGTAAAAAAATAAACTCCTAGCACAGATCTGTGCACAGGCTCTCAGATCTTTACGAACTTACAACTGTCAGCATTTAAATCTTGGAAGGGGAAGAGATGGTAATGCTCTGCTCAGATAAACAGCGGTGTTCCTTAAAAGCATGGCAGCTGTTTTCTTTTACTACCTGGTTGAGACGCGCTCTCACACTAAGAAAGGTGCTGTATTAAAAGCCGAGCAATAAATCGCAGAGTTTGTGGGAGAAGGCTGGGACAGAAATAGATACCAGACGCACAACAAAAGAAAAAAATAAACAGAAGCTATGAAAGGTAAACAAACCACTCTGCACATTTCAATTCTTTGGTGTTATCATACAGGCTGCAGACTGAGCGTCTAGTCCGGTCTTCTTGACTGTGTTCACAGGTAAATTATTTCCCTGCTTGTCAGAAAGTCCTGCTCTATATCTCCTTTTTCTCTTCACACACCACTTTTCTTCTCCCCCTGCCGTTCTCCTTCACTTAACAATTCAGGAGAAAAACACTCCATCCAGACTCAGAAGTCCCTGCTCTGATCTCCCATGATTCCTTGCATGGTAATAGCCACACTGCTCTGCGGAGGCACAGGCTTTCCTCCGAAACTTTTAATGTAAAACAGAAACAGAAGACATCCAGAGGTCAGTGATCTAAAATTACTTCTCAATCTCTGGTGAGCCCCAGCATGTTTTCTATTGACTATTCCTTTGCGCTCTCTGGTTCCTGCCCTCCAGTGTGTGTGTGTGTGTGTGTGTGTGTGTACATGCACATATAGGCCCCAACAAGCCTAGAGACGCTGGGCTTGTCACGCAACTCAGTGCCATTCAGCTTTGCCTCACTCTACCTCTGTTATTACAGGCTTTTCAATGTCCTACAACCAAGCACTTTCCGTGCTGATGTTGTTGGCTCAGGCCCATGGTGTTAAACATGGGGAGGGGGGGAGGGGGTCTGCTGGATTTGCTTTTTCAACTGATGGTGGGTTTTAGGGGTCCACAGCCCCAATTCTGGTGGTTACAGCTAAAGATTTAGTGTTCCAAGCGTATAATGACAGATTAACACATATTTTACTCGTAGCTGTGCTTTTACTGGCATGAATCTGCTGTAACTTCTCCTCTGCTGCCGCACTGAATGGATGTGTTGTTGCACCGTGGTCCTATTAGGAGGAACGGAGGCTAATAAAAGGGGATGGCAAACAACAGCGGTGCGTGAGGTTTCCTAAGTCGTGTGTGAATGTGAAGGGTGGATGTAATCCCAGCACAACAATGAATGCTGCTCGAGGCTGCTTGACTTGTCATTTTGCACCATTCTGAGCTATACACACAACAGCACAGGAAATCGGATACAAAGGAGTTCGGTTTCAGACTCTTCACCCCGTGCATTTTGTTTATGAATGTCTGCATGTGCAACTGTCTGTTCAAAACTGGAGTTCAGCTCAAACCATCGCCTCTGAGTAAGTAATCAAGATGCAGCCACACAGGGAAGTGAGTCAGTCTGATGATTAGAGCAGCCACACAGGCCCAGAAATGATTACTACTCCTTTTCCCACTCCAGTAATAACCGCTACCCCTGACCGTGTTCTATTTACCTAAGGATCACTTCTGGGGAGGCCTGGCTGGACTTGTTGCTACGAGAGATTTGGCAGAAGGAGAGCCCTGTGCCACCCTAAACCGTGTTTCCCTCCCTTTCGTGTCTACCTTGGCCGAGAGGAGGAGGAGTGAAACAGGAGAAAGGCTGTTCTCAGCAGCAGTCCTGCTATAGAGGAGCACAATGGGGGCCGAGCTGCAGGTGTGACCGTGCAACAAAAGGGGCTTTGGGCAAGTCAACACAATAGAGCCCCACCCCCGTTTAGTGGACTTTAGTTAGCTAGAGCTGTTCAGGGGCTCCTAAAGGGGGGGTTCAAAGCAAACTGTACAAACATCTTGACTCCAAATGCTGCACATGGGGTTAACACTTTTACCACCTAACCAATTTAGAACTGAATAACCTGATTGCCAAGCAGCAGTTCAGGATAACCATAAGGCTGTAGGGTTTAATGGTGGCTGTTCCGGGGTTACGGCCGGCTGTAGAGGAGGTTAACGGTGATCGTTCTGGTCGCTTAGTTGTGACCCCGCGCCCAGTGAGGCGGAGTGAGACGCAGCAGCCAGCTGTGCTGTCAAATAACACTCAACTGGTTCTGATGTTTGACCCGGCCAGAGTGTGGTGCTCGGGCCAAGTTTGTAGTTTTTGTTGTGTCTGTACTTTTGAGTCTCTTTGACAGATATCTGGGCAGGGAAGATTTTCAGGGAGATGTACGCATCTATTGTCATTTTCTTCTCTTCCATTTGTGTGAGTGCACGAAACTGGTAAAAGAATAGCACCGCCATAATTTGGACAAATTGAAATTAAATGAGTTTCCTTCCTAGAATTAATTTGGCACACTAGACCTACCATGGAAGCTCAAAATAAGTCTCTTGATTGCTTATTTTCTGCATCTCTCTTTTCCCATGTACTTAATTTGGCTACATTAACTTCAATGAGACACAGAGGAACAGTCCTTTAACCTTCTGCACTTACACGCCCCTTTTTTTTGGTAGCAAATGAACCATACTGATCCTCTCACTGTCTTTTATTCTTCTCTTCAATTCTCTGGTAATTTTTCAAGTTCTGCTTTTGGTTGTCTTCCGCTCCGGTTTTGTGCGCACACAATCCATGAAGCAGCTCGGGCGCTGACGCTTGCATTGTGCGGGAGCGGGGCGTAAAGGCATTCAAGTTTTACCCGTGCTAAATCTTTTCAGAGCCTTTTTTAGCCCACATGTGGGACTCGTACAAAAGACAACAAAGACGCGGGGGGGGGGGACAGCGGTGGAGTGACAACAGTGATGGGACGGCGTTTGAACGGCCTTCACAGCACCCCAACGCATGCACGCGGGGCTATGTGCTCTCGTGCCTCCAAAAACGGGTTACGAGCGCTTCTACCAGAGTGAGCCCCAACACAATGACAATAAGGATACAGTAAATAGATTAAAAAAAAAAAAAAAACAACAACAACAACAAAAAAAAACACTAAAGTCTTGGCTCGCCTTTAATTGTTTTAATACTGTGTTCGCTAGCAGGGTCCATCCAATCATGTGCACGTTAGCTTTGCTTCAAGTGGATTTTTTTGCAAGTGGAAATGTCAGAGAATACGTGATTTCAAGCTTCGTACAATTCAACACAACTTTGAACTTTGTAGGAAAAATAAATATTGATTATGTAGACTAAACGAAGTCCCTTTTTAAAAAAAAAAACAAAGGGTCTGTCGGAGACCCAAACTGGCGTTGCTTCTGGTTTCATTGTCATAGTGGATATCTACATTTGTGCCTTACAGTAGGTATTTTTCTACCTGATTCCTTGCATAATTCTGTGAATAAAGTAGCTCTCTTGACACTAGACTATAGGATACATTGGTGATATGCCAAACAAACCCAATTTCAAAATCTCAACAATACAGCGCAAAATTGTATCCGTTAATTTACCTTTATCAATAATTTAAAGAAAATCACAATGGACACCTACCTTAAGTATCCAAATTCACTCATGAATGGATCAATCCGACTGTTTGTCATAGTCCTTTGGTAATCCATTTAAGAGAAAACACCCAGCATGTAATATTCCTGTTATTTAAAGCTCCATTCGGACCCCACTTCTCTCCTTCTCATCCAGTTGCGCACAGATTTCAGCTCGTCTCATACGAGCATTTATCCTGCCTGCTCTGTGTCCGTCCCCGGGTCCCTGCGCTCTGATGACTGATCTTCAAAGCTGTGCCACGACCACACAGCCCCCTCCCTCATACAGCGATACACCAGCCCCCTTCCACTACTATTAACTTTGCAAACCAGAGGGAAAAGGCATAAACATTAACGACGCGCGATCCGTACTACGCTCATGTTAAATCATTGATTTAACATAATAGAGGGCGTGTGGAGGGACGAGGAGCATGATATGGCACATATCCACCTGAATACAAAATAACTACACGAAAAAGCCTCCTGTGCTTTTTGTTTTAGTTCCTCATAAACTCGTCGCAATCACAACTCTTGTTTTGATACGCTATACCCGATCTGTGGTTGAACTATTGGACCTGATATAGCAGATATTTCCCACAGTTTAATTTGGAGGGTAAGTGTCTGACAAAGAAAGAAGTGAGTAAACAGTATACGTTAGGTTTGGCTCCTCCTGTGTGTTACACCGCTTTCTGAGCGTTGGATTGACGCTTTGGAGCAGAACGGTCAGATAAATGCTGCCCGCGCTAAAGGCAATGAATGGACAGTAAAACGGATTGAAGCATGAGTAAAAATAGTCCGGACCTGAACTATTTTTGTCCTGCAACCAGCAGTTTTGCAGAGCGGCATAGCTCCGTGGTCAAAAGAAATATTTAGCATCCCACCAAAGACTTCTCTTCCCTTTCTAGTTTCCCCCCTCGACTTTCACTGCGTAATGCGCAACAAAGTAAATCCACGTATCGGCAAGAAACTCACCTCATCTGAATTCCTTATTTTGTATCCTTTCGTGTTGCTGTAATCCCAGTAAAGAATATTGTGCGCGTCGTAGTAGTGAATCAACTTCTCCTGGCTGAGAGAAAAACAAACTAATGCACGGCAAATGGTGTAATTCGACCCGTGCTAAGTCAATCCATCCACTGAGAGAGACCCGCAGCCTACCAATAAGCAGCGCTCTCTCTCCAGTCCCTCCCCCAACCATCCATCTCTCCTCGGTTTGGTTTGGGCTCCGGCTCCTGCTCTGCTCTGCTCTGGCTTCCTTCCTTTCTTTCCAAGAGCTCAGAGAGAGAGAGAGAGAAAAAAGCGACCCCCTCCCTTCTAGTTCTCCTCCTGTGTGACCCCGTATTGCCCCCCCCTCCTTCTGTTATACCCCCATCCCCCAACTCCAAGTCAGCAGAGTGCCTAGTTAAAGTCATTTCAGCTGAGTTGTGACTGCTTTGTAAAACACAGCTTTAGAAATGTCTGGATTTAAGAGGGTGCAGGAAAAACACAAAACACAGGACAAACACACTTCCTTAGTGAAACGTGCAATAGACAAATGACAGATAGAGCAAAGATGATCAGGACTATGAGAAATTGAAGAGAAAAAGTTTTGCAGGAAAAACCATGTGCATTGCAACGTCTAAAGCAAAATGCATGATTTGAAATTACTACCAACACGCAATAAATCTTGACAGAGCTAGATTAAACATTTTTTTTCTGTAACGTGAGGAGAAGTGGAGAGCAGTGTTGAAGAGCAGGGGGAAAGGTATTAAGTGAGACAAATAGCTCCGCAAACCCATAAGATGTTTAGAAGTAAGCTTCAAAATAAAAAGAATACAACGTCTTGTCACTACATACAGCATTAGCTCTGCGGGAGTAACTTGGTCTCTCCTTATCCTGTGTCTTGTTTGAACTAGAGCCATGCATAGGCATTAGGCATTCTACATGTGTATGTAAACATCAGTGTGAGGACGTGTTCTCGTATGCATGTGAACTCCAAGTCGTCATCGAACGTGTCAGGTCATTCCAGCCAGGTCGGCAAGGGCCCGACAATGGAGCCCATTTGCACCCCATTAGAGAGGCAGGTCAGCAGATGTGTGAGAATCTCTCCCACATGAGCACACACACTCTTGACAGCCCCCATTATTAGCTGCGAAAGTGGGATCTGCATCTCAATACATGCACAGGAAACACTAGTTTGCACTGCTGATCTGCCTGATCCCTGTTTGGCAATTCTTCCATGTCTTTGTCTCCGCTTGTCCCTCTCTTCCACCCTTTTCCCTTTTTTTTCTCCTCCACCCCAAATCGCTATTCCTTGATATCCAGTCGTTTTATCTGACAGAGCCTTTCTTTTCCTCAGCCTCCCTATACTTTTACATTGCTCTGCCAATCTCACCAGGGTTATCACAACCGATGGGAGTCCAGTCTGTCATTTATGTGTCTTTCATTCCCTTTCTACTGGCCTCTCACGCTTCAATCCTGCCACTCAATGCTGCTGTCAGGCCTGGGTTGCTTCTATGTGATGTCCTTGTATCCTGTGGGGACTGAATCAGCACAGCATCTATTATGGTGGGAGGGGGATGGATCAATGTGTGGAGCTCTTGCGCAGACGCAGGCAGTGAGCGTCAGGATGGGTGGATACATGTATGGATCTGTGGGTGTCTGGTGATTGGTGGGTGTATTGATTGGTCTTTTTTTCCCGGTGAATTGACAGTTTTATCATTGGTGTAATGGCAATGTGACACCATTCCAGTGGGTTTTAATGGGTTTTGGTGTACTTCTGTTGGCTATGACAATTTTCTCAATGTGCTTGTACTGTAGTTTTCTTGCTGCTCACGTGAATTGTTCCAATCCGTGAGTAGTAAAAGGGTCATTCGCTGTCTTTCTGAAGATGATCTATTATGTCTGGAATTATGAAATAGTGGTGATTATTGTGAAGGTAAATGAGCCATATGAGAGAGGAAAAGCCTAATGAAAGATCTTTTGTGACCCCCAACTTTTTGCTTCTTTTTTTTTGGACACAACTTTTTATGCAAAACAAGGATTTTTTTCTAACATATATTTAAGTTGTGGGAAAATGAGTTATTCAATTTAATGGCGCTGTATTAACAAACGAAACAGTGATGTAAATGGAGCAGATGGGTGAATGACAAAGGATTCGAGACTGATTGCATGTTCCGATTGATAGTACGAATGGACAGATGTATGTATTGATGTTGGGAGATGGAGAGATGGATGGTCGGAGAGTGGGATGATATGCAAGGAGGGTTGGGGGTTTAGACAGAGGACAGAAGGCCTGTGCCGGACTCCTAATGTCTGATATGCTCCCTTGGGGACCCTGCAGTGTGTAGGTCAACCCCAGGGGGTGTGTGAGGGTGGGCCTTGGGGTGTAGAGGTGAATGACAGGGCTTGGCCTTAGGTTGGGCCTACCAGAGAGTGCACTACCCTCCACTCCCTTATTTACTGCCTGAAATGCCCTTACAGATGGCCATGTGTCGAGCATGGGGGCTGCAGGTTGAAGGTTGAGGCTGAAGCCAGACACAGAGTTAACCACAGGGTTGGATGTTTTATTACAACATCACCGTTTTCCACCAGCTAATCAAGGGAATTAAAAGTTAAGAAACCTGTCAGAGCGGGTTAGGAGATGTGTCTAGAATAGTCTGACTCACAGGTTTTACACTTTGGGTATATGTCTGCTGTCTGATGCCTATTTGAGATTGAATCAACCTCTCGTGTCATTTGCAGTTCAAACAAAAACAACCTCGAAGCTAGCAGCATACAAGCTGAAAAGCTAAAAAGTTTTTTTCAGAGATTGGATTGCGGAACAAGACAAGCATTAGTCTTCCATTATTATGCCACTAAAATGTCAGGGATCACTACCTCACATGCACATGCACAGGTTTAATTTAGTAATATAGTTAATATCTACGTATGGTTTTGTTACTTACATAAACTTTAATCAATATGTGCACATAACTTGAATTAGTCAACATCCCATGCTTTCACAACAAACAGACTTGATTCCGTTTATTTCTACGCTACAGATCATAATTATTACATCCACTAGAGGTCACTTAAAACCATGAAAATAGATGAAAGTCGTATTAACATAAAGCAGCAGCAGAAGAAGAAGATATCCTTTAATCCCACAAAGGGAAATTCACTTTTACACTCTGTTATTGAGACATACCACACACACACACTTAAGCCGTTTTCACATATGCACTCTGGATAATATCTAGATATTTACAGGAGGACTTCTCCGGAGATTCTCCCGAACTAGCCGTTCACATGTGCTCCTCACAGCGGGGGGGACTGTCCCTGTCGGAGGGGAGGGGCCGCGAGGGATTTCCCGACGTAAGACGTGATGTAAATAAACAACGCGGAAGTAGTGGCCGAAGCGACACAACGTTATAATGAGAATATTTGCCTTTATATTAATGCTATGTGTAGTACAATGGAATGACAACATCCACAAAAGAGAGGAGAACAGAAAACATAATGCAGCCGTTTAATTACGTGCACAGAGATCGTAGTGGTCGCGGGCAGACACTTTAGCCGGTCACTACATAAACGTCACTCGGGTCCCATTGGCTCGAATTGAAAATATCCGGAGTATATTCGGCCGTGTTCAGACATCAGCTCACTTGGATATTCTGCGGATAAAATACTAGGAGTCTGCCCAGATAAACTCCAGGCGAAAAATGCGACTGTTTGCGTCGCCTCCTCCAGGTAGCCAAATCTCCGGAGTTTTTCAGGAGATTTCCGTATGTGTGAAAAGGGTTATAGACTGCACATAAAAGACCACCCGAACAGTTGGGGGTTTCAGTTCGTTGCTCAAGAACACCGTGGCAGAGCTAAGCCACCTCCAGCTACCAGATCCTCCTGCAACCCTATGGTTCCCAACCTAAGCCCCTACAGACTGAGTCACTGCAGACCAAATCAGCCTATGTTGCCATAGTTTCTGTAAGGACAGTGTTTTTCTTCCCCTACAGGTGAGTTGTGACGTGTGATCACTGGGTGTTTTGTTCAGCGCTGGTACAGCACAGTATGCAGATAGGTCTGGCTATGTGAGACTGTGTCTAGAATAAAAAGTAGAAAATTAAAAGGTGTCAAGTTGAGTTCAAACATGTCAAAGACAGCTCTATTGACTCAGCGTTAATGTTTTAATGAAAAAGAAAGACATCTCCTCTGTGAGAGGTCTGGTTTTCAGAACAGATGAGATGACATTAGCAGCAGCAGTGTGCTAACTAGGAGAGGGAAAAGATTGTGTGTTCTGTGTCTTGGCATTGAGTGTTCTATCAGATGGCTGTCTCTCAGGGTGAGGGCAGTCTGTTCTGAACCTCCACGCTGACCTCTGATTGATTAAGAGGCCATTTCTGGCACTCGGCTGGCCTGGGGCACCATTTGTCACCTGACTGTGCAGTCCTGTTGAGAAGCTTCGTGTCCTCCAATCTACATTCAGACATTTTCTCTAAATCCTCTACTCAGCCTGATCCACAAGGGCCACCCATGTTAAAAAATCTGTTCACTCACTCTGGTGCTCAGCCTTTTGGATCAGAGTAAACACCAAATGGCATGTTAAGTAA